GTGTTTGGCAGCGAGTGGAAATTTGCGATCCACCCACCTTCCACAGATGGGTGAAAAATATCATTTAGAGCAGCTGAATATAAACCAGCTGGTGAATTACACAGCACAAGCATAGCTGAAATACAGTGTTTAACAATGTAGCCCGTGTGAATGCTGTTATACTGCACTTGCCATAAATATTACTGTATCATAAGAAATGGTGGATGTATTTTCTTGATAGAGAATATTTTCAATATTTTCACCTGTTTTCTCTTTACTTGCTATCAGCAGTTCTCATGATAAGGTCTGGACTGGGATCAGAGCCCTCGCTGGTTTGTAACTGGTATAGTTATCTTTTGCTAGCTGGCTTTAATGACTGTAAAATGCTGCCTGTCTGTTGTGATAATTCCACAGCCACTTTGTTTGGGTCTAGCTGGGATCAGAGGCAGTGGGGATTCCTGTCATGGAAACACTTCCTAAAGCAGTGCCATGGGTATGATCCAATCCAGCACCCTTCCCTTGACAAGGAAAATTCACTGTCGCTTGAAAGCTGTTGAAGGTGAGATGGTTTCCATCGCACCGTCTCTAATTGAAGAAAGCCCTGCAGAGGATTAAAGAAGGCTTTGAAAGTACCCCATAAAAGACACTCAAGATGACGATAAGAAGTCTGCTAAATACATCAAAAGCAGGAATCCAGGTAGGGTATTGCTAGGACTGCTGCCTGGCTGACATCTGAAATGGGCACTAAGGTGACACAGCTGTAAACAGAGAACCTAAACGAATTCGTTGTATCAGTCTTCAGTTATGAAGCCCATGTTTGGGACATTTGCATACCTAGTGTACTCTTTCTGGAAGACAGGTCGAAAGAGCCGGAACAGTTTGAAGTAGTATTTGTAAAATATTGGTCCAAACAGTGTCAGGAAGTGTCAAGGAAGAGGTGCCAGCGTCCTGGAGAAACTGAGGTGTGAAGATGAGGCACTGCTGGTCAAGGTGGGTAAATCATCCTTACAAGTGGCAGCTGGGCCAGGGGATGATGTTTTGTTAATGCAACCTCTGCCTGGGAATAGTAGAAGTATCTTCTGCCTCAGATCACAGAAACCAGCTTTATATCATGCTGTATTTTTAAAGAATAATAGTATATTTAGGCATTTAATTATGAATCGGTGCTTAATCTTGGCAGTCACTTCCTTCCTGATATTATAAGATGAGATGGCAAAAATGTATCTTGACAACAGATGAGAAAAACTTAATTCTAAAATAAATCTATAACACAGGCCATTTCTTTGCTCACAAATCTCTAATATGAAGCTGCTCCTGACAGGAATGGCCAGAGATCCTGCTCACTCTGGAACCAGGAGAAGGAAGGTGCCCTGGACTTCTAAGCTTAGGCCAAAGTCCAAGTGTTTGATGGTTACCTCATCTGTTTTGTGGAACAGGATATGGATTTTGAAGCACTCCTGACAGCACGTAGAGGCTCACAGGGTTTAGTAATTGTGATCTTGTGCTTTTTCGAAACTTTCCTATTTTGAGACATCTTCTAGACAGAGCTACTTTCCATTCTCTTTTCAATGCCTGACTTCTAGGAAAGGAATTAAAAGATCAAGACTGAAAGCCTTCCCTGCTATTCTCAGCCAAATTAGTTTCCTTCTTTTATTATTTCATTTAAAACCTAAAACCACTGGCATCCTTAGGTTAATAAAGGCTTGTATTACAATAAAAATAATGCAAAGACCTATTACTTCTCACTACATAGGTGTCATATTGCTACACAAAGAAAATTATTCCAGTAAGTAAATTCATTATTTCATTAAATTAATCTATGATTTAGTTTCAGGTTTTTGACAAAGTGGGGAAAGGAACTTTTTAAGGTTAAACTTGAGAAAGCTTTTTCTTTTGCAACTCAATTATTTTTTTTTTCCAGAAAATGCTCTTCATAAATATGTACCATTTGACTGACTGAACACTTACATATCTTTTGTGTGTGCCAGCTGTGCATTTATTAAGGCAGCCTTGTGTGATTTTGTTTTGTGTTGCAAGCTGTATTTCCCCTGAAAGGGGGGAACTGAGTGCGTGGGATATCGGCAGTGACTCATTTTGCCCAGTCAGACGGTGATCAGGGCTTTCACAGCATTTACATCACAGCAAGGTACTGGTGACAGTTTGTGCAGCCGACTGTTGCGTGCAGCATTAAAGATTAAAATGAGAAATGGACCAAGCATGACACAGTAGCTAGAAGTGATGTTATAGATAACGAGCCTTGTCCTCATTGATTTGTCTGCAGCAAGGGGTAATGATCTGTTAATTTTACCTTTGCAGCAGATAGGAAATGATCTGGCTGCCCTGCAGAAGCAGCCTACATAAAAGCTACGTCTACGTATAGAAATATCTCTAAAAACGCCAGTTAAAAAAATATCTCTTCCAAGAATCCCACGCGGGAGTGTGTTCTGGGTAACTCTTTGTTCACTGATGCATGCTGCACTCACTGGCTGGAGAGGGAGATTTGTTTTTTTATGAATGGTGAATGGGGAGGGACATAATGTCATCAGATCGTGATGTCAGCCCAATGAATGAAATACTTGCTTGATATATTGCTTCAAGACCAAGAAAAGGGACACCATCTCAGTTTGCCTTCCTAGAATAAATTGTCTTTTGCTGACGAAGTCGTCTTTCCCACGTGTCATGAATAATCCGTGTAAATTGGGACTTAAATAACCAGAAGTCAAGAAACTCGTGGAATCGTGCACGTTTGTTCTCTTGCCCGTCCTCTCAGCGCTGCCCGTGGAACACCCCTTTGCAGGCGCTGCTAATGGGCTCAGTGAGTTGAAGAGCTATCGCTGTGTTCTGTTGTTCTCTATCTAGCCCAATGTTCTGCTTTTGTCTGCAGAATTCTTTGTTGAAGCTACAAGCCCTTGAAACAGATCTGTGCTCTGCGTTTCTGCCAACCCAGGAAGAAACTCCTCAGCTGCCGGCGCCCAAGGATCCAGCCCCTTCATCAGCCCAAACCAGCGTGCAAGCTGATGGGGCCAGTTGTGGAGGTAAGCGATCATGTTGTGATGTGTTCTCATTTGCAATTATATAAAAAACAATAAAATCTGTGTGACCTGCAGTTTAATATCAGATTTGCAGTCCTCTGGGAAACAGTGCAGAGCTAATGCAAAGCACAATGCTCTGTAATGCAAAAAAGGGTGATACTGTTAAAAGAAGAGAACTAAGGGCTGTAACCGGATTTTCTGAGAAGGAGTCTTGCTTTTCAGATAGTTTTAAAGAATCCTGATTCTTTATTTTCAGTTTTAATCTGTTTTGTTGGGTTTTTTTTGTTCAATTTACACTCTTTACTTCCTATGTGTATTGTGTGCAATCACCTGCCATATCATGTAATTCTATTTTTGTCATTCTTTTTGTCAGAACAATATCACTTCATTTCTCCTATTATTGATTTTAATTTAATGCATCAGCAGAGAGATAGTGAAGGTGAGTTTTATAGCATGTGGATTTTAATCATTCATGAACCTGTATTATTGCCCATCTGGGCAAACTGTGATGTGTTATCTCTCCCTGTTTCCTCAATATGGAAACCAGTCCTTGCAAATAAATAGCCCTGAGGCTCGGCACTATTTTTGTCAACTCATCGCTTGTAGTCACAGGGCGGGCAGAATCGTGATGCTCTGTGGAAGAGGAATCACTGCTCGTGAAAAATAGGTCAAAGGCAGTATGACTAATACATCTCACAGACAAGTGACACGGATACACAAATGCTTGAATCGTTCACCATGTATGGTCCAAACTAAGGTGGATGGGTTGGTAATCCCTTTGCAGTTGGTGTTATGTGTTAAAATAAAGGCTGGGTTCAGAAGAACTTATTTCAGAAGCTCAGAATTTTCAGCAAGAAATGAGAGTTATTAATCTTAAAAAATAAATCACAAATCATAGTGTTCTGCTTATGAAATCCTAAACTTTGAGGTTTGTATTGCACAATTAAGGAAAATGGTATGTAGAATTAAAATTATTATAAAGAAGAAGGAATGTAAAAAATACTAACTACCCTGGATTTTAGCCAAAAATTCCCCAGGAAGATGTGAGGCAAACACCTTAGTAGCTCTTGGGTACAGATAGGGAACTTGCACTGGTGCTAGTCCCCTGGCATGGATCTGAGGCAGAGGCAGATCTATCCATGCTGTGTAAGCAGAGACATTTTGCAGCCCATCCAAAATCTGCGCTGACTCTTTCCTTTATGGCAGGGTGGGGTTTTCCTCCTCTTCTAGTAGTTTACTGAATTAATTTGTTCTGGTAGCTTCATAATACATAGTTAGGATGGTTCATAATTGCTTCCATTGCTTATTTTTGCTGTTTTGGTTGCATTTTCTTTAGATTCATTCTGTTAGTGACCCCCGCTTCCAATACCCTCTCTAGCTCTTGTTTCCCTGTCTCCAGCTACAGAGGCGAATATCGGATGATGTAGCATTTCTCTCATGCAGCGCAGAGCATGCTCTGTCTCTCTAGCATTTCAAACTTGGACTTTAGTTAAAGCTTACCTATTTAATGCATTTTAGCATGTGCTTATTCTTGCTAACATCATCTTTGTGGGTTGTGGTTTCTTTAATAACTTGCCATTTTGCATGTATAGAGGTATTCCTGTTTCTGTCTCCTAAAATACTACTAAAATCTTCTGATACATTGTGTCTGAATGCACTTGGCATGTGAAACTATTGGCTATTTCAGCTCGAACTTGGATGGAAGTCCAGAGATTTGTACCTGGCTAGGAACAGAGTTTTCAGAGGATGTGCCATGTATACTATGTCTCTAGTTACTACCCTTTGCTCAGTGAATCAGGCAATAAAAATTGTAATATTAACAATGTACAAAAGTATTATTTTTTACATAAACATGATTGTGTAATCTATTTAATTCCTTTTGTTTCATATCCCAGTCCACAAAAAATAGAAAAAAACCCCAATTATATGTATGGTGAATGAAGCTAGAACAGTCTAGTAAAACGACAGGGTATTTCAGGATGCAAATTTTAAGGTGTGAATGGTAACTCTTATCTCTGAGCTCTTTTCAGTGATGTCCAATGATAGGACAAGGGGCAGTGGGTCCAAGCTGGAACATGGAAGGTTCCATGTAAAGATAAGGAAAAACTTTTTCACCGTGAGGGTGACGGAGCCTTGGCACAGGCTGCCCAGGGAGGTTGTGGAGTCTCCTTCCTTGGAGACTTTCAGAACCCACCTGGACACGTTCCTGTGTGACCTGCTGTAGGTGATCCTCCTCTGGCAGGGGGGCTGGACTAGAAGATCTCTAGAGGTCCCTTCCAACCCCTGACGTTCTGTGGTTCTGTGAGAGTCAGCAATTTCCACTTTATTTTTGATTATGTAAAAAGTTGGATTAGGGCGGGCAAAGTGAGACCATAAAGAATTACAAGGGTGTATTAAGCTATTTATTTTAAGGGAAAAAATAGAAAAACAGAGTAATTTCTATAGCTTTTGGACGTAAGTATACATCAAAGTATGTGACTTGAGCACTAAGCAGCTGAGCTTAATTACAAGATGTTCTAAATGCTTTTTAAATTAAAAAACCCGATACTGGCATTCACAGATGTAACGTGTTGAGGGATTAACATACCACCACTGCATATTCTTTTTTATATACAACAGATTTCAATGTGTTTCACAGTATTTATATGTTTCTTGAAGTTCACAGACAGTGAAATAAAAGCAAGGAAAGCCAATTTCTTCTCCTTGAGAGTGTTGTCTTACAGAACTCCCCCCAAAAACCCAAAATAGAATCCGATTTTTTTAGAGTCTTACAGGGTAAAGAAAGATTACTTGCCAGAAAGAGACAACACATTTGTTTGCAGAACAACGTTTATTCCAGCCATTGTCACTGAATGTTATCTATGTACAGAATTTCCCATAGCTGGTACAATCCTCTACACTTGCTTCTCTGAGATGGCTTTCTGGATCCCTCTATGGGAGGATTTAAATTTCATACGTGATTTAGAAGTTTTGGATGTTGTTTTGGTATCTTAAAGAGTTGAATTTGACCTAAAGAGTGTGAAGCACTACGAGGAAGATGATAGGTTAGAATTAACAATCAGCTACATTGTGACATTGTGAAAATGCTTAACATTATTATAATTGATGGTGCTGTTAGAGTAGATGAACTTTTGCATGACAGACTAAACTCTGATAATACAATATGTAATTGGATTTTGTGTTTTCTGTAAAGCAAAGAAGTTGAATAGTCCCTGAAAAAATGATATTTTAGGCCATTGTAACTATTGATTTTGAAATCAATAGTTGTTTTTTATGAAGAGTACTATTCAGAACTGGTTTGTCCCCACTGTCCCAGTGTAGCTACAGGGATTTTCTTGGGACAAGGTCAAATAAAATATACTGCAAAGGTTTCATTAAAATCCTGAAAGAAATGCCATGGGAATTCCCACTCACCATGGGAATATCATGTCCCGTGTACAAAGGAAAAAATGGAAAGAAAGTGGAGGTGGAAGAACTTTCCTAAACCTACCTACTCTTCTGTGAGTAAATCCAGCTGGTTTTCTATGCAGTTTTAGATTTCCTTTGAATAAAAAGATTCTGTGAAATGTATTAGAATGCATGCTATATTGCAAGCATAATACTGATTAGAAATAACATGCATGTTCCCTGGAAATACAAAATAATACGTAGTAATTCATGGGTTTAGCAGAAAAAAATAATGTAGCTGGTGTAAAATATTAGGTACTATGGAAACTGATGTAGGGGAACCTGAGACAGAGCACATTCTTTACTTTAACATATATTAAACTATTTTAGGGGGAGAGCTTTTATGAGACAGTGAAGTTTCTCCTTAAAAGTATAACCTGCTTTAAAGCACAGTCATCTGAAAGCAAAAATATTGTCTAGGCTAGATCATCCTCATCCATTTCACCCACTGGGAGTTAGGAAGAAGATTCGATGGTTCTTCCTGTTACTGTACCCATGTACATGAAAAGGAAGACAAACTCTTGGTATTCCCTGGAGGTAGGTTTTGTAACATGCCCGTTGTTTTCCGTGTCACTCATAAACAGAATCAGTGTGATGAGGTTCACCAATTTCTACTCTTTCAGTCCAGAATAAATTGTTCTGACTGCTAGCTTTACTGTCTCTATAAAGCAAATCTTACCTTTGGAGACACTGGAGGTGAGATTTCCATTTATAGTCTCAGACAACGTTAACATGGTGTCAGAAGCATGACTCCTCCAGGTAGCCCTCACTGCACACTACCTTCAATAACTACCTTGAAAGTTGTGGGTTGTTGTTGTTTTCATATCTTGTGTACTTTACACCCATGGATACGTTATCTGAAACCTCAACAAAATTCTTTAGGGTACTGCAAGCATCACTGGAGGTTCTTAGTATCAGGGCATGTTATATGTTTGGTCTGCATTTTTCTTAACCAAAGGACTGAATACTAAATCACAAAATTAGACTTGTATTGTACATTCATCATTTTCTTCAGGAATGTGGCTTTCAAATGCTACTATTCCAGGAAACTCTCCATCTTATACTTCATAGTTTACAAACAGACCCATCCACCTTCTCCTGTGGAACTCAGAAATGCTTTATGTATAGCTAGTTACTGTCCTTTCTATTTTCTCGTCCTCAGTATTATGTTCATCTTGCATGAGATTCTTTGCTGAACTATTTGCTGTTTACTTTGAATACTTAGTCTTTGAATACTTCTGTAAGTATAGATTTGCATTTATCTAGGCAGCTAAATGTCTTGAGAGTGACCCTTAGTTGATGCTTTCTTTTTAGAGCCTGTGCCAGCCCACAGAGACTGGCAGAATGACCTGGAGAGCAGCCCACAAGAACAGCACTCCCTAGGGACCAGTCGACTGCTCTATCACATTACAGATGGAGACAATCCTCTCTTGTCACCACGCTGCTCTATCTTCAGCCAAAGCCAGAGATTTAATCTAGACACAGAGTCTGCTCCTTCTCCACCAAGTGCTCAACCTTTCATGATGTAAGAAGTCGCATTTTGTTTCTTATATATTTTAAGTATATATATTGTACAATCCACAATCTTTGACTCTTCGTGCTTTTTCAGTTACTGTTATGTCATAAACATGTTTAATTCGCAATACCGTAAATAGTATCTATCATTTTTTCATAACACAATACAATACTGTTTGAAGTCTTTGTTAATCATGGTTAGCAAGGACAGTTAGAACAGATAGCAATTAGTCAGATGAGTGAACATAAGATAGAAGGCTGTCAAAATGGTGTAATTCTAAAAAATTCAGCCAGAATAGAACTAGAGCTTGAGTAATTTAGAATAGAACTATAGCTTGAGTAATTTCCTAGAAATTAGAGAGTCAAAACTGAAAAACAGTCTGTATATGTGATCTCCAGAAACCAAACTGTGAGTCTTGGACAAAAATCAGACTTTCTTAAACACTTACATATGTAGCTGCATATATACAAACTAATCAGATCTATTGGTTTGCAATTGTGAAAAATCAGAAACTAAACTGCCTTCAGAATGACAATGTTTATTCAAGGCACTAAAAAGCTCCGTGAACTTACTTTTACAAATCATGTCGTTACAGTCTCCCATTACAGTTGGAAGATTCGTGAAGAGGTGTGGGTTTTAAATGTAAATAATGGATCAGGTTGTGGCCTACTAGATTAAACTTTTGAAAAATATTCAGAAATCCCACAAGTAATTAAAGAGAGAGAGTGAAAGGCAAATGGTAAACCCATTAGTATACCCTAGGGGTATCTTTCAGCAAAAGCCATTATTTTATGCTTACTTTGTAAAACTGCCTCAATCCTGTGAAAGAACCTCGCTGCAAATTCTGAAGTGTGGAGAAAGTGTTAAATGTACCTGAAACAAGGCACGGTCTTTTATAGCCAGTTCTTTGATCCAGGTTTCGGCTTTTGCAGGCCAAGAAGTTCTTCTAGATGTAACTGTGAAGAGTGCAAAGAACCACGAACAGTAGCGCAACTCACCAAGCACCTTCAGAGTCTCAAGAGAAAAATTAGGAGGTATGAAGAAAAGTTTGAGCAAGAAAAAAAATACCTGGTAAGATAATGATTGAAAAGATAATGGGAAATACTACAAGAGGCAGGCCAGAATCCAAGCGTACCTAATCTTATGCAAAACATTAGGAAAAAGGATAGTTTTCATAAAAAGAAATAGGAAAATCATCAATGAGGGAGTATCTTTTTATCATCTTTCAATGTATGCAGTAGTTCTGAGACTAATTTACATTTTCTTTCGATTACCTTTGTTGCAAAATATGCATCTTCTAGATGTGTGAGAAGTGTGAATCAGTGAAACATAGCTGACAGGCTTGTGAACCGAACTGATTCAAAAGATGAAAGGCCTCTTATTTACTTTGTAGAATTCATTTGCTTGGAAACTGTTGCTCTGCTGTGCAGATTCCTTAATTCAGGAATTCCCTGTGAACCTCCAAAGCATAGGGCTGAATAGAAGCTGATGGCACAAATCACAGAAATAAAAATTGTGCCTTCACATGCACTCACTTGGTTAGAGCATGGTGCTGATGACACCAAGGTCGTGGGTTCGGTCCCCGTTCGGTCCCCATGTGTTGCCTGATCTAGTTGAGAGGCGTCTCTGCCCATGACAGGGAGGTTGGATTAAATGATCTCTAAGGTCCCTTCCAGCCTAGGCCATTCTATGATTCTGTGATGTGTTGCTGATAGGGAGTTGTTGGAGGCCCGCGCTGTGCTTTGTGCAGTGTATGCAAGGTTGCTCATGTCAAGCCAGTTTTTGTAATGTCAGTTGTGCAGTATAAATGTAGTAAAACATCTGTGATGCTAAGGGTGTGTACAATATGAAACAGGGAAGTTTGTGATATTTTATGACTATGTTAAAATGGAAATTAAGCAAATTGTATATTACCTTGTAATCTCACTGGTGACTGCAAACCTAAGCATACATTTGTGTATTGTACTGCCCGATGGCCATCATGTAGTCCTGTGAGTAAGATTTCATACCTAAACAATCACTGTGACCAGAAAATACATTATTTCAGATGTTTACTCTTGCAGCGTAAATTGCTTGTAATTTGAAAGCAATTTCTAAATGCAAAGAAAGAAGCAATACACAAACGTTTTGTTTGTTGCTTTGGAAATCACTCTGTTGCACTGGATTTTTTCTTTTGATTAATTAAGCACTTCGGCTGAAAATTTAAAAGCGTTATTTCCCAGGAGAATCCCTATCTTAAAGTCATAAGGGTTTCTCCCTGCAAGGGACAGAGTGCTTCAGTTACGGTCCTTGAAATCATTTAGGAACTTGACTAACGTTAGGTATTCGATCAGTCCTTTTTGAAGTCACTGAGATTACTTGTCCAGTTAGTCAGGGCCTTAAATGTTGGGTTTTTTGAGGCAATCAAAGCCAAAATATTGAGATCCATGTAAGACTGTGCCACAGTGGGGAGAGATAAGTGATGACAAATCAGTACCTTGATCAAGTCAAATGCTTTGCATGATGCTATGATGTAGTGCAGTAAGAACTACGGACATTTCTTAGCACACTGTATGTGGATATGTTTTTATCTGTTTGATTGTATAACCATCAATTCCTTCTGATTTATTCTTGGTTTTTTCTTTACATTCAGCCTTCACATGGTGACAAGACTTCCAATCCTGAAGTTCTGAAATGGATGAATGATTTGGCCAAAGGTCGTAAGCAGCTCAAAGGTACATATTTGCATATGTAATCATTGTTTCACTTTATTGCTGAAGCTGTTTAGAAGTATGAGTGTACCTGGAATGTTTCAGAGGTAGTTTTCTAACCTCAGTGCTCTGCTTATTTTTCACAAAACGTGGCAATGTCTCCCAATACAACAAAGATGTTAGGTGATATGACTTGCCTTGATTCCCAAAAGCAGGGATTAAAGTAAGCCACTTCAACACTCAAGGCTAAAAAGAAAGGGGAAAGAACCATCATCTCTCCCTCATCTCTAATAAACAGTCATGCAAAAGGCAGTGTTATTCTGAATATTTTTATGAGTGTCATAGTACAAAAGTAGGTGCGAAATGTTTCTTTAGGATTGAGGTTGCACAACTCTAAAGCTTTTATTTTTTTGACCATAAAAACAGATCTTTCCCTGATATCAAAGTTGGCCTTGAGGGTCAAGTTTTGCCCTTGACTGTCTGTACACTACTTCATTAAAGACTGTGGGTGTGTCAAATGCTTGCCCTCAGGGAGATTGTAGCCAAGACTGATTCATTTTTTTTAAGGCTATTTATGATTTATCTAAATCGGTTTTACCCATTATAAATAGATTCTCACAAGTAATTAAATTGTAGTATTATCTTTTATCTCTGTTTTTGATATAGTTAAGAGTGTAGATATAGAGGGGGTGATTGTGATAAATAAAGAATTAGAAACTCATCTTTCTTTAAATTTATTCTGAAAAGTTTTCTCTTAAATACTATGCTGGGTGATTACTAGATTATTAATATCCTTTCTCCTTGATTTTTGTGTTACAAATCTGGGGGGATCAAATTAGGGGAAATATTTAAAGTACATATATAATGTTCTGAAAATTCTCTCTGACTTGGCCATTGCTTTAGCCAGACAGGGGTCTAGCATTCATAGATCAGCATCAACTCCTGCCCAAATGCCTCAATCCTGTGAACACCCTTGATTTTATTACCTTGAATAATGACACTACTTTTAAGTGAAGCAAGATTCATGAGGCTCATGAGACAGGTGAAATTGAAATGGAAAAACACTCAAGTGCTTGTAGGCTCTTCTTCAAGTTCATAAGCTTGTCCACCCTTCCTAGATCTATGAGTTGACTGAAAATTGTGTTTTTCTAAAATCCTGGCCTGTATCCTCAGAGCGTTGCAGCTAATGTTACTGTTTCTGAATAGATTTCTATAAATTTAACACATTTGGAGCTATCAATCTCCTGCCTTGCCCAAGGTCCTTTACCAGTCACGCATATGCTCGGAACAAAGCCTGGTTTTACAGGAGCTAATCCAGACCTTAATTCAATTGCCTTGTTGCTCTGCACAGATCCCTAGAACTCCAGGGTCTCTGGCTTGGCATCAGGCTAATACATATTTCATTGCATCCAGGCAGGTTGCTGGTGGGAAGCTGGGACACGCTCTAACCTGCATGCCTTCTGCTGAGTTGCTCAGGTGCTCTCCCGCCAAGGGAAGTCATTTAAGCGAAGGGGACGATTGTCACAAGGACCAGCTCAGCAGCCTGGCTGGATGACAATGTAGCCTCTGGGAGGGACGGTTAGGATTTAAATTGTGCTTGAAAAGAGTGGGGTTGGTTGTGCAGACCCAAGTACGTGGCTCCAGCAGCCTGGCAGCTGGCATGGTGGGCTCTGTAGCACAGTTTAGCCTTCCCAGCTCTTCTCAGGTGAGGGCCTTCGCTCTCCTCCTCACTTGCATGGCAGCACAGGAGGCCAGGCAAGCACAGCCAGGGTGAGAGTGGGACAGGTGGCTGTGGAAACCCTGGCTCTTGTCCAGAAAGGTGTCTGTGAAGGACTGCCTCCTCAGACAGCTATCCCCACAGCAGGTTTGGGCATGGTCTTACTTATCCAGACATCAAATGGATGGAGAGTGCATGGATTCAGTGAGGAGAAGGGGGAGAGAGAGAGCTCTGCTTTCAGATTTTCCCCTCACCAAACCTCCCACAAATGCACTGCACTGATTTCTACCTAGACCTGACTCATTAATCCAGTACCTCTTCAGTCCTCACCTTCTGTGCCAAAGATGGACTTGGAGCAGGTGCTCTAGGTTTCGTTGACATGAACACATCCCATCCCTTGGCCATTAGATTTCCCTTCAACCAGCTTAAAGATGTTGCATGTTAAAGTGAAGAAGAGTTACCTTCCTACACAACTGTGCTATGGTAATAACTCTACGCAAGAAGTACGGATTTTTTTTTCTTGTAGCGTCAGAGGAAATATCTTTGCAAATATTGCTAATCTGTTTACTTGCCAAGTAATTTGCTTTTCAGACCTGAAACTCAGAATGTCAGAGGAGCAAACCTGTACCTCTAGAGCACCCCAAAGAAATGATCATTGCGAAAGCACTGGGATCTCTAAAGAGGCTGGGACACAGGAGGCCACGAGTGTGGAACCAGCTCCCTCAGTAGAAGAAACTATGGATAGTGTGTTGAGACGATTAAAGGAGAAAAGACAAAACTTTAACCTTCCTGAGGCTATTAAGGTATTTAACAAGTACTGCTGTTTCTTTCGGAGCTTTATCATCTAAGGCAGGTATTAATTAGTGTGCATCTGTCTCAGGGTATGTGGGTGCATGTGCCTCCTGTGTGGTCTGGCACTGCAGTGCCTTTCCTCTCTAACAAGATAGGAACTCTAGTGCAGTTTTCTGAAGTGACTTTTCTGTGAAGAGTTGTACAGAAAGAGAGATGTGGAAGGTTATTTCAAATAACACTAAGTGCTCTTTGCTCAGAGATGCATGTGAGGCACTGCTGAAACCTGCCTGCTTGAGGTTGTGTGCGCAGGAAGCGCATGTTCCAGTGTATTGAAGGTGGTGACAGCAAAATCAGTCCTATCTTGAGTCCACAGAAAGTGCATGATTAAAAACATTTCTGGAGCTATTTTGACAGCGAAGGTCCCCTCTCGCCTGAGAAATGCTGAAAGCCTCTGCCCAGTCGATAGCACTGCACTGAGATCACGTGGGTAGCACAACTCTCCAGACTGCTTTACTCTTCCAATCTTCTACATTTACTTGTGCTGATACTGCCTCTGCTCTTCCATGTTCTCAATTACTCTTCTAAATGCAGGAGGAATATTCCATGAAACACGCTTGCTTGGCTGGGCAATTTATTTCTGTTTTTAAACTAGTACATATTTTAAAATTCTGCAGTACCTTTACGCTAATGACACGTTATAGGGTCTGTCTAAAGCTGTTGTTCTGAAATACATACCTTTTTTTAAATGTTTTTGCTGTCAAATGACGTTGATGTTCCTGATGCTATACAGCTAAGCAAGACAATAAATTCTGTCCTCAAAGGTATCTAAAATCTAAATGTTGACAGGAACGTTAAGACTCTGGCTGATGAACAAAAAAAGGAAGAGAATGAGGGGGACAAGGCGCAGTGAAGAAGAACTAAATGCTAAACCATGTGAGAACTAAGAAATGTTTCTCGGTGAATTTCAGTAGCAGAAAGAACTCAGCAGAGATATTTTTTATGTTTTTGTTTTGTTTCGCTTCTATTCTTGGTTCTTAAACAACTGGTTACTGTGTAAAAGCTGGAACTCTGTGTTTAATGATGTTGTGCTTCTGAGTTCTGCATGACTGATTTTTTAATTGTTTCTTTTTATAAACTACTTTTTTAAAAACCTGAAATGGAAAAAGTGTTTCAGAAGCAGAATTTCTTTATAAGAGAACAAAAGATGACAACAAAACCATGCTGCTCTATACATAGTCTTAAAATATCAACAGTGCAAAATGTATGATAGTATTTTCAGTTGTTAATTTTTTTTTTATTATGCAAAGAGTGAGATCAGATGACACCAAAACAGATGAGTCAGTGAGTAAATCCTGTCCAGAAAACTCTCTTATAAGAGTAATTTGGGTGTGGGTCTAATTTTTCAATTGATTGGACTGCTCCTGATGCTCCAAGAGAGAATCTCCTAAATCTGTGCAATGGCAGTGTTGGCCTGAAATACTCTCATGGTGAATTCTGTAACATAAATTAGATGTTTGCACAAGTTAATATCTTCAGATATTTTTTAAAGTTCTTATTTGTTTTCTTCTTGTGTTGCTGTAGAGAGCGCTTGTGTTACAAACATTAGCTGGCTGTTAGCAAAAGTGTTTGTTAACAGTTGTATGAAACCGCTATGGAGTGGAGGCTTGAAAAGGAATAATATGAAGTCAAATTGATCTATTCTGAAATTATATATTTCAGTAGGTCCTTAAGTATAACATTTAAAAAAATAATTGTTTTTTGATTATGGGTCATCCTGGACTTTTGGTGGAGAATGAGATTTATAGCACTGATGAACTGAAATGAATCAAGCATGTCTTCTGGTTACAGATCAAAGGCTTCATTTCAGCTACATGCATCCTTGGTGTTACTGTAGACATTTTATATGTGCAACATTTTATTTAGTATATACCATTTAGATCCTGTAACAGAATCTGAGCTAGATTAATAGTAAACTAATAGCTGCTAAATGTTTCTTTTTTTCGAGATTTAGTTATTTGGGGCAAAGATAGTGTTTCAATAAAAGCCTGTTGAGTTCTCTCCTGACATTCAGCTGTATAAAGCCTCTAAGGCCTTGCTGAAATACAAATGAGAGAATGTGTGTAATTAAGAAAGGTGCAGATTAAGATCCTGAACCACTCAATACGTCTAAAGGGGACAGGATGCAAGATCTGGATATGAAATAGAAGAATGTGTTTTTCAGAACAAAGCACTCCTCCCACAAAAAAGCCTGTGAGTAAAGTTATTGAATGAGAAGACACAGAGAAAATTGGGTTTGGCCTGTGAATGATTCGATAACCCAGAAAGGGATAGCTATCTCTTCCAATTTGTGTCACTGGCTCCTTGTGCTGGGAACTGGTGACTTATTTAATGGCTCACCTCGTTCCTAGGTAAAAGAATTCAGAAAAAAAAAATATTATTAGCAGCCTTCCAGTACCTGAACAGGTCCTACAGCAAAGCTGGGCAGGGACTGTTCACAAGGGTGTGTAGCGATAGGTCGAGGGACAATGGTTTTAAACTAAGACAGGGTAGATTTAGGTTATGTATCAGAAAGAAGTTCTTTATTATGGCGGTGGTGAAATATTGGAACATGTTGCCCAGAGAGATGGTGGAGGCTTCATCGTTCATTCAAGGTCAGGCTTGATGGGGCTCTGAGCAACCTGATCTGGTTAAAGCTGTCCCTGCTCGCTGCGGGTGGGTTGGGCTTGATGCCCTTTAAAGGTCTCTTCCAGCCCAGCGCATTTTATGAGAACAAAGCTCTGCCTCTGAGAGGCCTCAGTCAGGCCCTGTCCTTGCTGTCAAACTGTCTGTCCTCAGATATTTGTATTTTCTGTCTGGAAAAACAACAGTAAGCTTAAAAGGCATCTGCATTCAGGGCACTGGCTAGTGAGGAAGACAGCTGTGTACAGTATTTTGTGTGCTTCCTTACTTTGTGTCCCAAGTTATGGAAATCAAACTGCTGCTTTAGCTTTACATGTAGTCTCTTTTTTCTGTCTTTACATGCAGCAGCTTTTGCCTTATGTTTAGTTCTAACACTTGCAGTCTGTCCCTCAAGGCTTTTCTCAGACTAGTTCCCTTTATGTATCTGTCCTCTCATTATTGACCCACTTTAGCTCATCTTTTCCTTGGCTATGAAGCAGTGTTTTTATTTAATAAGCATTGAATTTCATGCTGCTGTGTGCAGCCTAAAGTCCTAAGATGTCTCAGACAATTCTGTAGCTTGTGATTTCACCTGCCTTCTCTGATTTTGAAATTATCAGCGATTCCAAACTTAGCTGAATACAAATCTGTCTTCAGATTGCTAATAAAATGAGCTAATGAAATAGGCCCAAATGCTAAACCCTCTTGAGACTGTTTCTCATATGTAAAATCAATATTAATAATAGGCCCCTGTTTCCTCCTAACCAGTCAGCTGCTCCAGGCTTAATAGTTTTTGAAAGAATTAACCTTGTATTAATTGCAGAACTAGCAATAAATAAACAAATTAGCCACTTTATAATGCTCCTGGATTCTAGTTAGCAACTCGTGCAGACCTCTAAGGCAAAACGTGGTTAGTGGTTCTGCACTGTTTTTGCATTTGGGCAGACAACAAAAAAGATTTTGCTCCTACTGCAATTAATAGCAAGGCACTCCTTTGATATTAGAAAACCATTACTTCTTCAGGGCTTGATGTATTTTTAAAAAGTAAATGCTAATTATTAAAATTACTTCTCCAAGTTGTCAATAAAAAAAATAATCACTGACATTCTGCAGACCTCCCCGCCACCCAACTCCATCATTCTTCATATGACTTGATTGTGGGGGATGAGCTCTCCTCCAAACCTCTGAGCGCTTGGCCTTAATTCACACAGACCTGCCGTGATCTGGCTGAGGCAGTGGAAAATGACATTCACTTCATGTGCTTCTTGCTGTCTGACCTAGATGAAAATATGCAAGTGCCAGGTGAAGATCTTGGGAAGAGGAGGCAAGGGAGAGGTGAGAAATAGCAGTTAAATTGTGTGCTCCCTGCAGCAGACACCCAGACATATCCTGGTGTACCACCAACACCCACAAATCGATTGTTGAAAATTCAGCGTTCTTCTTTCTGATACCAGTGATTCATACTGTGATTTTTGAACAGACGTAAACTGCTCGTGTTAGGTGTTCAGCCCAGCAGAGCAAGAACTGAGACTGAGCAAGATAGCCAACCTTCGTTCCCATTGTCTCTAAAGGGCTGCACTTTCTGCAGCTTCCCCATGGCGGTTCTACAGATGCATGCAGACCAGCTGTAGTTGCCTGCTGGCTGATCAGATTATTCTTCTATTTCATTTTAGAGAGAGTATCTTTTCCTAGTATGCTCTGCATTTATGGGGTGTTCACCACAGTGTCGCAACAATTGGATATTTAGGGATTTCATTGTGAGTCTATCATTCCAGTCCACAAATGGGTTGTGTCTGTGTAGCTGAAGCTTTCTCTTCTTCATCCCTTATCAGCCAAGGAAAATTGATTTCTCTTTCCTGATAAATAATTAAAAAGTTGAAGAACATCCTCTCTGTTTTTTTCCAAGATTCTGAGTATTTTGTCTAGAATGGTTGTTGTTCTCATTTGTTACAATAAAGTCATGCTTAATGTATTGTAAGGAATGCTACCACCTATGATTTATGAACTGATCTGGCAAATAGAAGTTAATCACATAGAGATCTCATTAACTAGTTTCTCCCTAGTATGGATGCAAAAAGATTTCTTTAGTTTTTTCAGTTACAATAATTATTCAGAAATGTTAGCTAAATATTGGAAAATGTTCTAGAAAAGTACTGCACTATCTCTGGGATCTCAACATCACCACCTTCTGCTCATGTGCTGCAGTCATCTTTTGTCACCCTGCCTTTCCAAACCCCGCCAAAGAGAAATACCTCGTGTGCATGTGATTTGGCTGTGGTATTCAAGCAAAACCTTCTGCTTGTTTAGACCTTCTGTCAACCGGTGTTCCCAGAAAAAAATTTCAAATGTAGGCTCTGATCGAGGAACACACGAAGATTCTTGTTCTTGCCTTGTTGACTGAGACTCCAGTTTGTGCCCTTGGAAACTTGCCAGATGAGGATGCAGCATTCTGTCAATAGCCTAACACCACTTCCTTACTTTAAGCTTGCTAAATGGCTTTTGTAGAATAGTAATTTTGGAAGAAGTCAAGGCAATCAAGTATTAGATCTTTAAATAGTGACAGTTAAGAAAAGTAAGATTCCAGCTTTTCAGTACATCCCCATTCCTGCATCATTCTCCAGAAGAAAGAATTTCAGGCCCCAAAGACTCCACTTTGGCCAGATGAATTAACTACAGTGTATTTTCTACTGATAAGTCAGTAGAAGTATCTCCACAGCTCTCACCAGCTTTCCATTAGGCCTTGAGAGGCCTAATGTGCTTTGATTCATTTAATATTTCATTCATGTAAATTTGTTCTTGCCGAGTTAAAGCCAAGTCCCTCTTGATCTCAGTGTGAACAGAAACAGAATTGATTATTAATGTTTATCTGGGGAGAATAGGTTATTAAACAGATAGATACCTCTACCCTTGGCATGTAATCCTGACTCTTAATCTTATAAATAACTTTTTTAAATAGGATATGACAAAAAAGCAAATAGCTTTGGAAAAAATCAGTCTTCAGAAATGTCTACTATATTTTGAAAGTATTCATGGACAACCTGTAAGTATACCATGGAAAGATAGGTAAATAAAAAATTATCTAACTTCTCTAACAAATATTTTTTGACTCAGATATTTAGATGAATTTTACACGATTAACATAATTTTTGTTAGTTTAAACTGAACTTCAGATATAAATGATATTTCCTGATACTGATGGATTTGGTTTAAATTTTAAAACGTTAAATAAAAAGGCAACTTTCTAGTGGCCCTGCATCTCTATTCATGATTGGAAGTTGGAAGTTTTGATGATAAATGTGGAGGATTATACATCCAGGGCAGACTTGGATCGTCCATACTGTGACTCTGCTAGAGTGTATGAAAGGTTAGAATGCTCAGCAGCTGAGAAAAGTTTATAGGGCACCATCCGAAACACAAACTACAAAAATGACGTTACCTGTCATCTGTGTTTTCCTTTATTTCACAGTGTCACTTAAAACTATTAATTAAAATCCTTTCAAGGAACTTCATTGCTGAGTTTAGGAACAAAAAATATTGCCAACATAGGTGAGATGATGACTTGCAAATTTGTCTATATACAACTGAGGAACTCCTGTCTGATGACTAGGTCTGTATTCCTATGACTGTCTCTGACCAGTAATTGTTTGGTAGAGGAAAAGCGAAGCAGTACCAGCCTGTGCCCCAAAATATGCCAGCTGTTAAAATTGCAGTGATCTGCATCTGATCTCTCTGCATCTTGGATAAAATATTTTTTGTCCATTTTCTATGGGTTTGGAATAAGAGCTGAGGAATGAGGAGAATATATAGGAAGGGTATGAAAAAAATGTTTTTCTAAAAAGGAGAACAAAAAAGAAATTGACTTCTTAGTGCTATATAGAGTAAAAGAGTCTTGAAGATTCAAAGATAGAAAAGGGAATAATAGTGCACACTTTGCAGCATGGGGTTCAGAGAGGATGTTTCTTCTCAAGGTTGAAGTAACTCTATAACCAGCTAAGAAAGAGAATGCTAACCGCATGAGGAAGGAGGTGATCAGTGGTACTAAGCTGCCGTGAGGGAATCCTACATCTGCCAGACAGCTCTGACTTGAGGTCACAGAAAGCTCAGGGATGGTCAGGAATTTAAAACAGGTAAATGGAAGTTAGGCAAGAATTTTACATCTTTTTGTTGTTGTTGTTGTTGAAATAAACAAGCAATCTGGAGATGCTCCACACAGAGTTGTGTACTTAAATAAGCATGTCTCTTAGAAAAAATATTTTAATTTTTGTATGTACAGCAAAGTGTTTTCCTGAGGAAAAGGGGTGAAAAGTCTGCAGGCATCCAGGTCACCAAAAGCAGCTGGAGAATGAGGCCAGCGAGGCCCAAGCTCAGTGGCAAGCATAGGCCCTGTGCCCAGTTCAGAGCTGGAGGGGAGCGGGAAAGAGAAGTCTGCTGGGGACACGCAGTTTGTAAAAGCCGGGTAGTGATGACCTGGAAAAGGCAACTAAGTGACTGCCCCTGCAGAGGCACTCCAGTGACATTAGCTGAGAAAGCAAGTGCCTCTCGGCCATCAGAGAGGTATCTCAGGGCAGAAAATGGGCTTTTGCAATACTTGATCATTGAGTACTAAAGCCTTGATTCCCTACTTTAGATGTTTGAACTAGCAACTCGAGACATGTCTTGTAATTTAAAAAATAATGCACCGTAGCATTATCAAAAGGTTAATTTGAATGGAGCATACTGAGATTCCAAGAAAATAGCCAGAAATTCAACCTATTATGTAAAAACTTTGGTGGTTTGTTGTGATTTTTTTGGTGTTTCTTTTTGGTTGTTTTTTTGTTGTTGTTGGAGTTTTTTGGGGATTTTTTTTTGTTTATTTTTAAAAGCAAATAGCAGAATTCAGCTCTAGACAATGTCACAGTTATTGCAGAAACCTCCTTCAGGAGTACAAAGAGAGGGACCATCAGAAAAACTTATCAAGTTGCATATTCAGAGCAGCATGACTACAGCAGCTCTGAAACACAGTAGAGAGTGCTGGTAATGCTATTTGTCCTGCTGACGCATAGTACAGATGATCAACGTCTTTGCCCAGACTTATCTGAGCCAAGTCAGGTGGAGAGGACATTGATTAGGTTTAAAATAAAAAATTATCTATTCTGGATTGTTTGACGTTTTCTGGAACTCTTACAATCAAACGGAACATGATGACTGGGGAAGAGAAGTAGACTAGCTGGGGTAGGCAAGCCCTGACATTGTGCAGTGAAGCATGCCCCTAGGAATAGCCCCCAGGACTCGATCAGCCACACATACGTGGTGTCATCAACCCGTGTTTGTCTACTGCCCTCACTCCTGCTGACCAGGTATCTGCCTGTGCCTGGGCAACTCCGCACTGTTGTCCGTGCCCCCAGCCAGTCCGTGTCGCTTCAAACCTGCCATGTGTTCCCTCAGCTAAGTGTGTGCCGCTGGACTTGAACGCAGCAGTGCAGTCGGAGCGCCGAAGGACAGTGAAATTGTACACAGTGGGTACTGACAGGGATGTGGGTTGCAGAGCAGAGGCTGGTGGTGGACTGGTTTGCAAATCACTCTGTTTTGACATGTAATGACTGAAGAATATATTGTTTTTCTGTTGTTTTTGTTGGTTTTTTTTTGTTTTTTTTTGTTTGGTTTTTTTCCTGTTGTTTTCTTGTGGGGTTTGTTCTTTATTTTCCTTCATACAGTTCATCTACTGCACAGCTAGTTTCCATAAGGTTTATTTTTATATTTACAAATATTTGTGACTGGATCAGACTCCTGATAACTGATCTAAAATTATATTCTCCTGCAAGCTGATGCTTCTGGTGTTCATAAAAGAGGAGCAAGAGCAGACTAAATAAACAGGCAGTTAATCCCAGTCATAGGAGGCAGTTCCAGCGAGGGATGCACGCAGCACTTGTGCATGGAGCGAGTGCACTTGCCGAGGCTGTACGGCTGATCCTCAGTGCTCCCCCTGGGCTGCTGAGTGTGGTGTCCCAGCCAGAGTGCCACGTTACTGCAGCCAGCCTGTTGCCATTATTACAGTTAGGTAAGTGTGATCTCAAGGCAATGCACAGTAGAAGCATATCTTAGCTCTTACAACTCTGTTAGCTTCGTCACTAAGAGGCGGAATAGTACACCCTGTGCCTGGGCAGTGTGGCTCAAGGAAGTGAACAATCCACGTTGAGTACTTTCCATCAGGAAATAGATTGCCATTTCCCTTTTTAGAAATTGTATGGGTCAAACTACAGTTCCCATGGAATATCTATGAAAGTAAAACACACATCTGGTCATACTCCTCTAATGCCTCTCTCAGCCTTACAGGAGCAAGTAAGAAACTTTTGGATTAGTATATTTTGTTATAATTTCTCTTCAGGTAACTAAGCAAGAAAAGAGTCTCATGAAACCTCTTTATGACAGATACAGAATTATCAAGAAACTTCTCGCAACCCCGTCTTTGATCACAACAATTGTAAGTTGGAAGTACTTCTTGTCCATTTTCAAGAAAACATAGTAAGTGCTGTGTTTGAGTTGTACCTGCATGTCGCTTTGGCAGTGATAGAACTACTGATATTTGAAGATTGTGTTCAATGGTTAATACAGACAGGGTGTTAATGATTTAGAGCAAATGCTCTGTAAAATTAACCTTTTAAGCATGCCAGAGGTTGTAAAGTATGGCAGAAGGTTCTGAAGCAATCACTTAAATGGCTGGGTGAGAGATCCAAGGCTGGCATTAGTTTTTTTATTACACCTAACATATGGAATGCAGAATTAAGCCTATTTCTTTCCACAGAGCACTGTATGGTCACTGTATCTATCTTCTATATTTTATTGACAATGCTTTTATCAATCACTTAGCACATACATTGATATATTACTAAAGTACTACAAATGATATTTATTGTAACAGTACTGGTCTCACAGTGAGCAGAGATGGTGGAATCTGAAAGTGCTATTTGGAAGTTAATTAGCATGTCTGTCAAACTACTAATCTAATAGTAGTTGAGACTGTGTTGATTTTAAAAAATTTAAACTATTGTCTCATTAGATGACAATAGAGCTTTAGATGTCTTTGAAAAAAATCCCAGCATAAATCTTTGTATACAGGCACACACATATTTTAAAATTTAACTGAAGCTCCTACTTCTTAGGAGCTCTGCTCCATGGAGTTTTTAGGTTTAAGCCATAGCTTTAAAAGCTCAACTTTTCTTCAGAGGATGAAGGAACGTGAGGAAGACAGCAACATCACTCTATTTTGCTAGTTAACATTTGTAGCTATAAAACTGTGGAATTGCTTCTTCCAACTCTTGTTACAGTCAGATTTTCTGGACATGATGCAAATAGTAGATGGTATGTAAGAAGAGTACGAGTTCCAGTAAGACTACACTGCTTACTTAAATACAGAATGTTCTTTAAATCTTTGCTACTTATAAAGGCTTTCAAGGAGAAGGAAACTCCTGGCTTGAGATCCTTGGAAGCAGGGACAGCTTCTGTCCTGTTCAGTCATGGTGGGCAGATCACAGTAACTCTGTGAGACCCATGAGAGCTCTCATGAGTGATATCAGGTAGACCTGGTTAAGGCTTTTAATATGTGTGATCTAATACTTTATGTCGTCATCATATGAATTGTTACTATTAAAATGTAAGCAACTAATTTAATAACACTTTACATTTTACAAGCAGGAGGAGGAAGACTCAGATGAAGACCATTCTCAAAGCAGCCGTGAGTTATCATCTGGTCCAATATCGTGCCTCCCTGTCGATGAGCACCTCTGTTACTTGCAGGAGGAGAGTGAGCCTGCATATGCTTCACCTCTGGACGAAAAGAAAGTTTTCAGGCAAACAGCCTTGTCTATGTCCAACTTACATGAGGCAACAATGTAAGTTCTGTCATATTTTGTCTAAATACTTATGTTCTTACAAAGCAGTTGTAAAGCAAATTGCAGTTTGGCCAAGCAGGATAGTTTGCTCCTCTGTGTGTGTGTGTGTGTGTGCAACATGAGGCACACAAACAGGTGAGCTGAGTGAAGGATCACACAATATACGATCAAGGGAGGCCGTTGAATGCATGTAAAAATCAATTTCTTCCTTGCATAAAAATAGTTATTAGTGTCTGGGTGCCCAGGAAACTTACTCCCAACCTCTCACCTTCCATTATAAAAACTAAAATAAAGCTGCCCTTCTGATTTGTAGTTAAGAATTTCAGGTTGCATCAGCTCTCAAGATGCACTTGGGCTGTTATCACTCAGCCTTGGAACTTGCTGAAGAATGTGACTTTCAGGAACAGATGTGCTCTCATAGTTTACGGGACGGTATCTTTTTCTTACATTTTGACTTAAATGCATAGATGAAGTTGACTAGACTTCACCAAAATTGAGAGTAGATAAAAATGTCTTGGTTTTCTAGGTAGCTCAACCATATATGCAATGGTTTGCTCACAAATGCTGTGCAGATGTTTCTGGGCATTCTGTTATTATGGAGAAAAAACCCAACACCAGACACTCATATCGTAAAGGAATTCTTTCGCTGCTTAAAAATCTTATTCTCCAAATAGCAGCTAAAGCACAGCTGCTGGGTACCACGAGCATTTCCGCTGCACCACAGTAATGTTTGATAACACCTGCTTTTAGGAGTACAGCTTGGATGTTGACTTTATTAATTCAGTTACAGAGATGGAAAGCAATTCCTGTGAGACACTGAGCCCTGTCAACTCCATTAATTCTGCACAGAACTAAGACCACTAGCAAGACTCTGTCCTGAAAGCTTTTCCTCCCATGTTGTCCATAGAGTCTCTGCCTTCACTCTATCAGAAGGGCAAGATTACTAGTAAAAGGGAAGGAGCACAACTGTTTAAAATCGTGTGGGATGGTACAGCCAGTTATACCTGTAGCTGGAGGGATGTGGTGGAATGCCTTGGGGCACTGATCTCAGTGCCTGCCATGGCCCATAGCAAGAGGCTGCTTCTTCCCCAAAGTCAAAGCTTTTACCGTAGTTCCAAGCCCGTGGGGACTTCATGTTCTTGCCTCTGTTTTACAGGCCTGTTCTGCTTGAACATCTCAGAGAAACAAAAGCGGATAAGAAAAGGCTTCGCAAAGCTCTGAGAGAGTTTGAGGAACAATTCTATAAACAGACAGGAAGGTAAATAACCACCTCAACCAAAGCCCTCTCCTCCTCTGCTTTGGGCTCCTCTGCAGTGTGTGTTTCTGCTGGGGTGGGTGCTCTTGGGTGAGCAGGCCAAGAAGCTGCAGTTAGGGACTGGAAGGTACCACAGAGGTGTCTGGTCTCTGTGGAGATGTCCATCTCCAAGATGTGGGCATGTTTCTCCAAGATGTGGACATCCCTGCAGACGGTCTGGATCTGAGGATCTTCCAGGACGCGCCTGCAATGGGTATAAACTCCAAACTGAAGGGAGGCTGCTGAGGAGACCTTATGTAGCTGTCAGTCTGCAGGTATTTTTTCACTTGGCAGTTTGGTAATTTTTAAACAGCTAGATTTAAAACCAGAAGCTCCTGTTTCTTTCACCCATCGATAAATACCGGCTACTTTTCACTCTTTGTCCCTCCTTCCTCTAAATTTGTTTGCTGAAAAACAAAGAGGTTATGGACATGTAGTATTATGGTAACTGTTTTCAAAGCACTGCATTATAATTATGTTGCTGCATATTTGAGAATGAAATAGTTATGCTTGCGTAGCTGACAAGAAAGAAAATTACCCAGTACATGAAAATTCAGTATTTTAAATACTGTTACTTCATTTCTGTCTATTAAAGCCTCTTGGTCCTGTGAAATGGTCTTTAGTCAGTTAGGAAAAAAAACCCCCACAATCAAACCCAATCCTCATTAGTTGTTGCAGAATTAATTTTAAAAACTGTTTCTCCTCTTACGTATAAAAGTGATGGCACTTTTATTCGATATTTATAGGAGCCCTCAAAAAGAAGATCGGATGCCAATGGCTGAGGAATACTCTGAATACAAGCACACAAAAGCCAAAATCAGGCTCTTGGAGGTTCTCATCAGTAAGCATGACATTTCCAAAACAATTTGAAGGGAATGCAATGCCGTGGTATTGTTCTCTAGCAAAAAAACAACAACAAACAAACAAACAAGTAATGAAAAAAGAGGAAGTAATTTCACAGGTCTTGGTCTGCTGCACAATAATTTGACACACTGAGATTTTTTTGATGCACTTTACCAGTTATACTAGCTGGGATGAGAGAGGACAGCAATATGCAAGATTATTAAGCACGGGTGAGTGGACTATAGTATATACTTTTTTCCTTTTTGAAAATGCCTTGAAGTGCACTGTGAGAATGTTAGAAATTAAAAGGACACTGAAGTATTGTAGAGCCTCAAATTGACCTGCTCTTAGTTTGAAAAAGTGAAGCAATGCTCTCCAAGGTTTTAGTACATCCTAGTACATAGTAATGTACCACACTTTTCTTTCTAGAATTAACATGCACTATAATTAATTATTAATGTTGGTTCTCAATGTGCTGAATCACTAGATTAAAGGAACTCCGAGCTTAAAATAAGGAAAAAAACTCATGAACGTACGCTCTGTTTCAAGAGAGTTGCCATTCAATTCCAGTAGCTTCAAAGAAAGGTGCATACAAAGAACCAGTGCCAGGATTTGCTCTAAAATTCTGGAAGCAGAGCAAAGTGATGCTGCCTATGCAAACAATAAGGATGGAACATGACTGCTAAATAGAACTAGTGGAGTTTTTTTTAGAAATAAGAGAAAGTGTTCGGCAAAAATGAAATAGATACATTTTACTGGGAAGAGATAAATGTACTGGCTGCTGTCCTTTTCACTGTGGTTCACAGAACCTGGCTCACGGTACTTAAAATTCAGTAAATAGATCAACTACATGCTAATTTTTAGTTCTGTATTAACCTCTGCACTTTATTTTGCCTGACGCTATAACATTCGCTTTCCTACCAAAGCTCGTTTAGACGCATGCACTTTGTAAAATGTCAAAGTATTCCTTGTGTTATAAATTGCCACATATATATATATATTAAAACAAGACTAGATTATTGCATTATGCTAAGATATTTTGGCTAGATAAAGTACATGGTATATAATTGAGTGTCACGGTTATCTGATGGGGAACGCTACACTTCTTGTTTACTAAAAATGACATTATAAAAAAAGGTATTTTTCCATTGGAATTATGCATCTTTCTTAACTTTCACAGCACCACACTTTGTAATAATAAGGAGATTTTTTTTCACTATTTGTGATAGACCATTTGTGTGAAAAGTGGACTATTAACATAAGGATTATCAGTGGGTTTTGTACTAGAAATGAAAAGCAGGGATTCTGGGAAATATCTAGCCCAGACATAAAGGCAGGAAGAATAAAATGAGTTTTTAAAAAAGGGACATGAATAAGTTGAATCATGTTTAGTGTTTTGCTTTAACTGTCATTTTGTATTGACCACATAGTATAAGCAACCTGTTTTCTATCTTGGTAAGAAGGTTTTCCTTTTATAAAGCCTATTATGTATCAAACATGTTTGTATTTATATTGTATGTAATGGCTCAGCATGATTTTGAAGACGTACACATTTTCAAGTAGCTTTGAGGAAAAAGTATGAACACTAAAAAAGGAATTTTTTATTTCTCAGAGGTTTGTTGTTTCAGTGTACTGACTTAATAATTTATAACTTAACTTTTATGAATCAGAAATGGTTTCCTTCGTAAATCTGTTTTAATTAAAGTCATCTAGAGCAACAGGAACAGATACAGAGCTATTTGAAGTTTACAAACCACATCTTTGATAAGGGAAAATGATTTCATGACATGTATACAATTGATATTAAAATGTAATCTATATATTCTATATGATTGTATAATATTTTATACAACAGTACAAATAAAATATTTTTCTATTATATTTATTATGTTGAGACACAATTTCTGTTTCAGTTAGCTAATATAAATAACATAAATAACACCGTCAAACAACACGTTGGAAGTGCTGACATTTCTAGGCTCTGAAATTTAACTCATGCTGCAATTACAACCTTTCATGCTGTTTGGAGTTATCCCAGTACTTGTTCAGTAGTTAAAATGAATGCATATTTAAACACCATTTATAAGCTGTTATTTTTATTTTGCTAAAGCAGTTTATATAGGATTTTGTTATGTTTGGCAAGAAACAGAAAACAATTTTTGCAGCATCTAAGTATAAATGGTTGCCAGAAAGAAATCCAGGACTTCTAATTATTTAAAGCGTCAGGGGAACAGAAGGGAAAGAGGGAGAGAAGAAATACTAAAAACGCTATTGGAGATTTTGAAGACTCGTGTTTGCTTTTGGTGACAGCGGCATGTGCATGCTTCTGACAAAAATGTCTTGACTATGGAAATGGGCAACAGAGGTTTGAAGGCTCCTAAGTAACGAGGGAAGTTTTAACGTCCAACACTGATATTGCAGGTCTTGCAGCTGGGATCTTTCTTTGCATTTGCAGTAGACAAGCTCATTAGTTGGTGACCGGTAATTTCCGCAACTGTGCCGAGGGAGAGATCCACAGGATCAGTGTAAATTACTTCCAAAATAACATCCTGGGCATGATGGTAAACCATGACACCGTCTTCTTCATCGCAGGTCAGAAATTTGTTATCTTTTATATTTAGTTGAGGAAGGCGCTGCTTACAGAATTCGTCTCCTGGTGAGCCAACAGGGGCGATAACGAGAATGACGTAGTGGTAGGCTGTGTACATGCAGTAGAAGTCTCCAAAGTACAAGTTAGTATTTGGGTTGAAGAGTTTTTCAGCTGCGATCTCAAACCTGTATCTTCCGTAAGGTGAATCTTGTGGAGGCTTGCCAGTGTTGAACTCGGTGTTGCAGCTGAAGAAGATGCCTTCCAGCTTCCCGCTGATCGGAGAGCCATGGCTGCCACTGTTATCCTTAACAGAGGGCTGCATAGCATTCCCGTGATGCTCTCTACAAATGAATGACTGGAATTGTTTATTTTGTAATGCTTGTTAAAGAAAGAAGTGGAAAGGTAGGACATTGTGCTGCTTGGCACAGGTACTGAAGGGACACAAAGGGAAATGGTTAAACTGAAAACTGTGGTTAATGTCATGCTCTTAGGACCAAGCAAATCAAGTGATGCCAGAATCAGAAGGAGCTAGATAGAAAAACTCCTGCTTGAGAGGGAAAAATCTGCTTCTCCAGTCTGGCTTATCTGTCAGCTGTGCGGTTATTGTATGCAGGCAAAGAATAGCAGAAACAAAAAAATCCCCCAAACAGCCAGTAAGTTTAATTAGCTGATTTGTTCAGCCTTCCACTATAATTCCAACAATAAACACATTTTAGTTTAATCACATGTTGAAAATTGCAAGTCAGTCTCAATATGCTGAATATACCGTTTACTGATGCGTATTTTTAGCACAGGCAGCACGTATTTCGTATACAAAACTGCCAGAGAAAGTTATTTCTGAAAGATGCTTTTCAGGTTGCCTATAGGAAGGAATGTACTGTGTGCCAAAGGTTTTTTTTCCTCCAAATGATTATTTCAGGTCTAATTTGTCTGCTGATGACTTCAATTAGAGCAGAGCTGGACACAGAGTGTTAGGCAATTTGGTTAGTTTCCACTTCAGCTGGTATCCAGCTTCTGCAGTCACTAGTTCTAAGGGGAAAAAAATGTACAACACTAATTTTTTTTTTTTTTTTTTTTGCAAGCTGAGCTCAATTTGGTTCCAATGGGAAGAAACGTTCAATGCAACAAGTGAAATTTTTAAAACTCTAAATCCCAAGTTGCGCTCAATGGGATTAGGCTGCTATATTTAGGAGAACAGACGAAAACACCCCATCTATTCCTCCTTAGCACCCAAGATTTTATGGTTAGTAGGATGTTCCCCAGAACTTGTGTCCCACATCTCTCTGGAAGTGCCATAGTGACAGCTTTGGTCCTCACTGCACCTGCAGCCATGTGATAGCAGGAAGGGAAACATTCGCTTTTCTAAGTCCTGCAAAACACCACATTTACTGGGCACCCTTAGAAAAACACCTTTATATATATTGACAGATTAAAAACGTATGAAGCTGTGGGGCTAGAGTCTTACAACCCCATTTTGCTTTACTTTTCTCTAGGTTTTTTTTTCCTTCTTTTTCCTTTTTTTTTTTTTTTTTTAAATTGAGGGAAGGAGAAACTAACCAAGACAGACTGTTCTCTCTCTACTTTTAACTAACTCTCAACAGCTCTAGGTAGAAGGTGCTGTGTGGGAAAAGGGTTTTACTTGGACGAGGAGTTTTTACTTGCAGGAGGTTGCAGTCAAAGCAAACAAATTCAGCGTATACATACAAAGCACCTCTAAATCAACTCAGTAATGTCTCCAGCTGTGATTTTTTTCATTATTTCTAATCTCCTCAGCAGCATATCTTGATTTGACTCCAAAACAAATTTCAAAAGTTTCCTGTGCCACTCAAATACTATATAGTTATTGTCTCAAGCCATATTTCATAAGACATTGACTGGGATGGGTGGTTACAATTGGTATTTTATGACTGAAGCGATTACAAGGGAGAAAAAACCCCACAGTTTGAATAACCACCATCTCTGCAACCTGCAAAGCCAGGCTTCTTGCAGTTCCATTTCTGTGGCAAGATACTGACATCCAGTGGCCAATTAGGCTAATTATAAGGCGCTCTTCCCGGGAATCTGAGCTGCTTTATGGTGCTCCCAGCTGAGGTAAGCAGCAGTGACATGAACACTATGTACAAACTCACACTTCAAACCTACATTTAGGGGTTGCTGCTCTAGCACCGTGACAGTTGCTTGTTTGCCAGTGCTGCTAGAGCTACTCTGTAAGCTTTTCCAAGCTTGTTTACCAGTTATGACAGCACAGAGGCATGGTATGACAATGAATTTTTCCCAAAAGGAAGCATGTCGTTAGGGTTTTTGACATAATATTCAGAAGAGTGCATTGTGGAAGGACTAGACAAGTATCCTAACTTCATACTGACCTGGGAAGAACACATCTTTGTTGTCTCTTTAGTTCACTAACAAAGGGGAAAATAATCTCGTCTCTGTTCGTATCAAACCAAGAAAGAACATAAGAGGAGGGAGGATGAAAGATACAGTGCAATCAGAACCACATTTGGCAGACAAGGCCAAACCCACAGCTACAAATGCACCTCAGCTGCAATTTTCAAAGCTCTGTGAACACAAAGGAAAGGCAGGTGCACTAGGATTACGTGGCTCAAAACTAAGCCATATGAGAACCACCATAGGCATTGCCCTTCTCTGGTACCTAGTCCAGGATGGCAGCAGAGATTTACAAGGTCCTCACAGAGCCTCAACCACTGCAATTCATTCTCTAGCTCCACTGAGTTTTGCAGCTTTGTCATCATCATGTGCAATAAACTAATTCTTCCAAAACACAGAAGGGAAAAAGCAAACCCCATGCTCTGGGATATACAAGCTGGTTCTGGAGTAGAGCAGGTACTCATGTCTACAACACAGGAAAGTTTCAAAGGGTGGAGGAGCCTGTTCTCTGGAGTTTGATTCCCTGAAGTATATTTTTTTCTTTACTAGTTTGAAAAAAAATCCCTTTCCATTCTAGGCAGGTACTAGAGTGACACCCACTAAAACCGGAATTATGCAGCACTCCAGCAGCCCCATCTCTCAACGCATATTTAAAGCAGCATAATCAGTGCTGCCACCCTTCTGACATCGTGCCGAACCATCTCTACACACTGCTTACCTCTCATCCATGTTCTTCTAACAGTAGAAGGTTACCTTTGCATGTTGGCTGCTCCTGCTCAGTCAGTACGTGAGCTTTAACTCCTTCTACAGAAAAAAAAATCTTCTTTTCTATTGTAATGAATGCTTCCAGTTGTGTGTGTGAGGGCACCCTGGGCCTCCAGCGGGAGTAAGGAACCTACCTTCAGCTAACTCTTTTTTTTTTTTTTTATTCCAGCTGAAGCACAGTGTTGTAAAACCATCCAAAAATCATCCCCCTCTCCCTCCCCACACAATCTGTAATATTTGGATTGCAGAGCTCCAATTACTACATTTGGGCATAGAAATGGAGTCGTTGCACTTGGAGAGTAAATATTCGAGCTGGAAATCTTGTATGCAGGCAAATGCCTATGCACACTATTGTGCAGTCCTACTTATGGACATCTCTGAATTTCTTAGTAGAAGTATTTGGCTACTAAATACGCTGTTCTGATAACAGACACTTTAAATAGGCTGGAGACCCTGTCAGTACTTTAGTTTCTGTTTCAAAACACAAACCTTTACTGTCTAATGGAAGTGCTGAGTTAAAGAAGGTAGAAGAAATGAATTATGTTTATTTTTTTTTCCCTTCTGAACTGCCAATAAAGCACACAGACAACCTACTCTAGCTTTAGCACAGCTGCCTCCTTTTACCTATTTTTTCCGTTACTCTCTTAATTTGCCAAACAATTTGCATATATTTACTTTCTTACCTGATATAATCAAAGTATTCTTTGTGCTGATTCCGATAAAAAACAGACAGTTTAAGCATACGGCCTGCGATCACTTCAGCTTTTTCCAATAGCTGTGTTAAGTGAACTTTAGAATAATCTGGAAAGAAAAGACAAACTGCTAGCATGGGAGTGGCAAGGAAAAAACCCACCACAATACTCACAAAAATATACACAGATGTGCAGACTTAAAATTGGGAACAGAGCCTAAGTAACGTAACGTACCTCACAGCTGTATACAGAAACTATAGCCCAGTGCCAGTTTCCAGCAGTGGCAACAGACAAATGGCAGGAATATACATGTTTGATTCTCCCCACTCCTTCCCCTGCACATACTCTGCAAGCCTACAGCAACTTTCATCTCAGGATTTCCTGTGTTGGAGCTGATTTCCTTGTGTTTGCAACAGCAGAGAAGCTGAGAACTGCTCACTCTGGCTGATGTCATTTGATAACTTGTCATTTGATAACATTTGATAAACTGATTGCTACAACGTACCTAGTTGTAAGCCAATAACAAATCACATTACTAAAATACCAGCTTGCATAGAACCTGGCCTAAACACTGTCTCAACCAATGTGGGATTCATAGAGAGCTCGCTTCAGCACTCAGCTGTCACGCAGGCACATTGGCACCAGCTGATGCACATCCAAAGGAATCAGTAACGGGCTAAAATGATCCTTGAGACAGGGTGTTGGTGGTGCTCAGGCTTTTGCAGCATGCACACAAGTGGCCCTGCTCCACCAGGCTCCTTTCTCAGCCTGGGACAAGCAGTGGTGCCAGGAATAGCACTTTGTGGCAGCTAAACTATTGCAGAGCAAAGGGGCAGTCCAGACCTGAGCACACACAAAGCCTCACATTAGAATTCCAGTTTGCAGGTATGACTATACCCATTTGGCACTGGTAGATGGCTAACCCACTCAGGCAGCAAAGCTACTTGAATATGTCCTGTCGTGCGTGTTTCCTGAGCAATATTACCTGCTGTGCAAAACTCGATGATTTCGCTCCACTCGGAAACAACATAATCACCATCAACCTGCTTTGATGCTGTCTGCACTGCTACGGTGTATTCTGTTCTGGGGCTCAAGAACCAGTGCCCACGGACTGTCATAGGCAAAGGAACAGCTTTGGCTACCAATTTAGTGGGTACATCCTGATGGAAAGAAAAAGACGAAAACAACACACAAGTCAGCAGAGCAAGCAAACCAGTTCACCACCCCTTCCCCCGTTGTTTTTGCAGTGTAATCCCCAAGCCCTGGCTCTTCTATATAAACCTTAGTTACCCCTCAGTTCCTGGGTGCAGCAAGTAACAGGTTGGCTGAGGACAGTGGTCTACAGTCTGCTCCAAAAGCTGTGGTAACAACTTGCATGTATCAGTTTATTATTGTTTCCAAGTGACTGTGGATTGATACGACTATATATAGCCCAAATATATAATTTGGAACTACACAAACAGAAAAAGACATGCTACTGAGCACAAGAATATCCTAATTTAAGAGCTTCTTTGGCTCTCGTTGCCATTGTTCTCTTTCAGTGAGTGTAACCAAATAGAATTCCTCTTGCCATCAATCAGTCAACCTATATTGCTGCTGCTATCTTCCAAACCAAACTTCAACAGAGAAAATTAAACACATTGCAGAATAACTTTGTAACATATACCAAAGTACAGAAGGGCCAGAACAAGACAAGAGTACAGCTAGATAGTTGTGTCTGTCATTGCACCTTTTGCTTCCCACTCCATCACCATTTCAGATACTCTGGCTTGCCCTTCCAGTGTACCACGCTATAGTGAAAAGAAGAATAGCTGCTCGTTGTTGTTGAAATGCCTGATTTCTGCAGTACCAAAGACTGCAGCACAGATTGCCAGGGGAAGGAAAAAAAAAAAAAAAAAAAGAAGAACTGGGCAGTTTACGCTGGAACTGTGACTGAAAGGCCTTATGGTGAAGTTGAATGATTCTCTGCACAGTGTACTCGAGGAGCTGTGATAGTGAGAGGGGTATTTACTCTTGAAAGTTTATCAGTAATCACAGAATAGTAAGGTGAAAAGTGGGCACTTTAGGTAATATCTGTAGCTGTCCACCTATAAATACAACAACTTCATAGTCATCCATCTATATATACTAACACAGTAGACCCTTAAGGAAAAAAGAAATAGAAAAGAGACATTTTCTGTTCACGATCTATAACTAAGACCTGAGTGCTGGGTTTTTTTTTTGTGGTGTTTTTTTTTTTTTTTTCTTTTTTACTTATCTTCTATTATGGAGAAATTATTGCTTTTCTGTCAGCAACAAATACTCTCCAGTTTCTCTATTAAGAAACTGCAAAATTTGCAGCTTCTGACATTACAAGAGCTGAAATGTGGTTGCTAGTTAAGGGTAAGTTTTTGATGTCATGATTTCGTTTTTGCTAATTCTCATTTAAATCAAGTAGTTGGGAGAAAACTTCCTCAGTGAAGGATTCAGTTGCACATTCTGAAATAAAGAGCACATAGAGAAAAATTACAAGGAAAAAGAAAAGACACCCCAAACAACATTTAAAGCTACCACCCTGGAACTACATTGCAAAGGCAGCCCAAGGGACTGCTAATGCAGTCAGCAGCTGCTACAGTCACAATCATTAGTCTTCCTGTCGTCTTTTCTTTGGTTATGGTAAAAACTGCCTCCACCTGGGTCACATCTCTGTGCCTACAACCCAGTGGTGGTTTTTGCCCCCATTAATGTTGTCAGTTTTCATGTAACATTAAAAGCCTCATTGCCCTCATGCAGCAAACTCTTACCTTCCAGCTGTGTATCAGGGAACTCTTCTAACTGTACCAAAAAAAAGGGGCAGACTGCTTAAAACCACTGACAGAGGGTTTTATCCCTTGCACAGCTAGGAAGGAGGGGCAGATACGATGTTTTTCATGTAGTTCTTTTTCTGAGCAAATACTTTTTTTTTTATTTTAAGGTCACTATATTGACCTTACGAAAAAATGTTCAAATACTCACATTGAAATGTCTCTGGAGAGTCTCTATTTTTTTTTCCTTTCATCTCTTTTCTGCTCAGCTCCCATTCCTGGCTGAGCCCCGAAAGAAGCACAAAGGAGGTTATATGCCAGCTCAAGGACAGCCAGGATTCTGGAGTGGCAGATGGCTGCTACACCACCAGCCCACATCAGACAACTCTAAAGGTACCTAGACAGCAATCATTTCCAAGAGCAACCCGGAACCATGGAATAACTAATCAGCAAGGTATACAAGTAATGGTAAAAGATGCCTCCTTTGCAGTCTCTTTTCATTGCAAAAGAAGCAGCTTTTAATTTTTAGCTTTTTCCCATTTAATCTCATCCTTCCCTTTGCCAGATCTGCTTGTAGGGTGCATTTGTAGGAACTCAGAATACCCAGGTTCTAGTCCTAGTCAGGTGTATTTATTCCTGCAGTATAAAATGAGAATTCAAATTCAAAGGCTGTCAGCTGAAAAGCAATAACAGTAAAAGAAAACCAAACATACCCTACTTTATTTACTATCAAAGTTAAAATTAGGTCATAATAATTGCCTATTATAACATTAAATTCGATAGTGCTTCACACCTGTTTCCTAGAAACTGCAACAACTTGGCCAGACATGTAAAATTCTTGACTTCAAGCAGTTTTAAATGATTTTTCTTTACACTTAATGCATATGTTACTTCCAACCATATTAAAAAAAAAATCAAATAAGGACGTGTGGAAACTATGCACCTGCTCTTAACAGAAGTCACAGGAAAAAATACTCTTACAACAAAAACACTCAGAGAAATTGGTGGAAATATCTCCTGTTTATCCTACTGGCATATAAACCAATAATAATTTAGGAGTTGATAGAATTGGAGCTCTTATATTTGTGTGGTTATTTGTGCCTTGGCAAACCTTATCTTTTTGAGATATTGCCAACATTTTTTTAAAATTTGCACATGATTGTGTTGTTCAATCTTCTATCTCATTCCACGTTTCTCTAGGAATCTCAGTATTTCTGATATTCTGAGGTCAAAGCAAATTTTGCTGGGATTTGTTAAGTACAGATTCTGCAATGTATTCAATATGTCCCTGCGTCAGTGGCTTGAGGAAAGAGGCCAGATGAATATTCAGGTCACAGTCCTGAATGCTGCAAACTAAAATTGCTGGAAGCCTTCCTAGAAGTGCATTAGAATTTGTGACTCTTCTGTTGAAATGACATGTATTGCTCTCATGAGTCTGTAACTGAACAAGAACAGGCACAAATACATAAATTGTTTAAATAATGATTAAGAACTAGTCAGGAACAAAAATGTCTGTCTTACAATGCACTGTACAGGATCCAAAACTATGTTCCAATGAAATAAAGGCAATGTTCAGTTCTCTATGAAACAAATGTATTTGTGTTTACACACATAAGGGCTGGAGATGGAGAAGATAATCTGAGTGAAAACCAAGCCAATCAGACTAATTAAACTCCACCTTTGCTGGTTGTCCAATACTTGTTTCTCATGGTCTGGCTTTGAAAGATTAATAAGACACTGAGATCCATCTATTCAAAATTAAATATTTCCATCCCGATTTTTAAATGAAAATTACCTTGTGTTTAAATTTGTTGGAATTCTTGTTTTCTTTCTTGTTGAGGTCGATGAAGTAATGAGTAATGCGGTCCTTGGATTTAGAATCCATGTCCCAAGAAATCTTGAAGGAATCACATGTGATGTTACTTATTTTGATGTTGTGTGGGACTGGAAGTTCTTCCATCTCTGCAATCCCGCTATCTTGTGATTTATTCCCTGCATAAAAACCAAGCATGATTCATTCAGTTAAAGACCTATTAGATATCTGTTTTCTGTGCTCCAATACAGCCACATCTCTGAAGAGGATTTCACAAAGTCTCATAGGTGGTACTCAGAAACAGCTACGAGGTACAATTATTCAAGTCTCAATATTAGTGATGGGAAATACTGGCAGGAGACGAAATTCTTCACACGTTTAAACACCACCAGCAGGCTGCATAGACCGGCTAGTACCACAGCTGTGTCCAGCTGCAGTTTGAGAATAAGAAACATCTGAAGCTATCTGGTGCTACAACATTTAGTTAAGAAGTCAGCAACGTCCACAGGTAACATAATGGCTCTATCCATACCTGACAGTGAAGTAAATACACATAGAAGTCATATTAATCCTAATCCTGTTTTTCAAGCACAAAGTAAAACCAAACTCTTCAAGGTGTATAGAAAGTGTATGTATATACACATATGTATGCAAATACATAAAAAAATTATCTCCTTCATAACGAAACAATTAACAGCGAGGACTTTGTTGAGCTGTAGTAAAAGGGACATATACATCAATTTAATTTTCTGGTCTTTATTCTCTGTACTCTATTTGCCTAGTTCAGACCTTGCAGTTTCTTGGGAAGTATTTCTCTAAGTACATATTATAGATGAACAAATGACCATTGACCTCCCAAAGCATCACAGGTTCTAAAATTAGGTCTTCCCTTAGTTCCCAAGGCAACCTTGTAGTAGAGAATTTTGTGAACACTAAAACTCAAAAACATTAGGTAATCTTGCACTACATAAGCCACAAGTCAAAAGTGAACAAACAAACAAGCAAAAAAAAGCAGAAAGATGAGAAAAATGAGTGGGTAAAAAGAGAAAAAATAGAGAAGATGATGTAAGAGAAGGAGTGAAGAAACAGCATAAGAAATAGTAATCATAGATAAAAGTAGAAAGAAACAAAGAAGAAAAACAAGGCTAATGTCTGTGTCAGAAAGAAAGCTTTAAAATTCTGTCTAGGTGAGGAAGATGGAAGCCCATGAAGAGATCTGAGGCAACATATTGTCAGAATTATTTTTAGTCACATCTAATTATAGAAAAAAGTAGTACTTACTTATGCTTCCATCATAACTGATAGAAAACTGGACAGAGAGGGTGAGTGTAGTCAGTAATAACAATAAAAATTTGACTTGGACAACCTTAGGGACATTTCAGCCTCTCAACATATGCTGTCAAAGAATTATACCAACATTTCAATGCAAGAATATTAAGGCTGGCCTGATTGTTCAAAATTCTCCTCATAGTTATGTGAAATTCAATCACAGAGGCTGTGAAATCCATAGATTTCCAGCTAATATTCTGAATAAAGTAATTTTACTGATGATTTCAAGAACCAATAATAACACTTTTCTATTTTTTGTTCCATTTTGTACATTTACATTCAACAGGTTGTCTATTCTTCATTGCTTTTTCTCTTTTTTTCCTTTCCAAGTAATATCACAATCAGAGGATGCATGGTCTTACTCAAAATCTCCCCCTATTTGTGCCATCCACAATGACATTTTCAATAGCTGTACTGGCTGCAATAGACACTGAAATACCAGTCATTATGGAAAGCTTTCTCTTCATATGAAATATATGGTAAGCACTTTTCCCAACATGAGATTTCAGAAAGACAGCAGGGAGAAAATGGCATTGCTTTCTTTAGTAGGCATTTTGTATTTGGAAAAATGGCTGAAAGCTCTACCAGGTACACTAAAAAGATGACATATGATTGCTCTTTCAGGAGCGAGGCTCTGTGTTTAAGCTGTAGATGCAGGTTTTCAGACCTCCTGGAGAGCCGGATGGATTCAGATCCCAGCTCACAGAATATCTGAATAAAGACCTGAACAGACATGCAGTCAGGAAAGCCAAGACAATACGTTCATGTGCAACTTCTTTGTTTTGGAAGTCATCTTCTATACTCCATACCTGCGGGCCTTAGCCATGTTACCAACAGCCAAGGTAGTTCAAGTTTCTGGAGACGGGTACAAAGCAGTAATGACCACCGACAAAGAGTACCAGAGATAAAAAATATTTTGGAGCATACAGATGACAGTGAAAGAGCAAAAGTAATTTGTAAATGGGTCTTGTTTTCTGCACAATTCTTGGAACTGATGCCTGCCTCACATCTTTTTCTTAAGAAGTGAATAAATAGTTCAAGGAAATGTTGAGCAGAAAATCTCCAGGTAATTTTAGCAACATTTTATTATAAGTCTCAGAAAAAGAAATCACTTGCATTACAAAATGCTTAGCTATCTTTTTGTGAGTATGTGTGTGTAAGAAATAAAATTCAAAATAAACACTTTTCTGAAATCTTTAAAACTCTTTGAAAGTAGAAGGAAATAATTTTACAGGTTTTGAAATACAGACAGAATATGAAATAAGAAAGTACAATACCTCACAATCATCACCAGCAAGAAACACTCCAATTTCCCTTCTATTTAGAATATGAAGTATGTGTGGTATTTGTAATGCATATTTATATTTTGATACGTATTTGTGTAGTCCTGAATGTCAAAATCTATTGAGTCAACAGGCAGTAATAGGAACCTGTTAATGATGCACAGTATTAATGAGGATGGCAATGATTCAGTGAGTATTGGTAGATGGCAACTTTTGAGTAGCAGTCGGTGTACCATTACATGGGAACAGGAGAAAAAAGGATGGTGTATGAAAAGGAAGCTCTTGCTCTTTAGATTTGACTGATCCTAGGAACAAAACATGCAGGTGACCAGCTGTGCCCACACAGCAGACAACCTAGCACTCCAATCACCAAGGAATTTTGAAGAAGTGTTCTCTTGTAAAGCCTAAGTTGAAACTCAGAATCTGGGTCCTGGGAAAACTAGTGCTTTTCAATGGCAGGAACAGCATTCTGTCCTGAGATATACTGGAATATGACATAAAATCGTGACATACAGTGCTTGGCATCACTGTACCATAATTAACTGGAAAGAAATGAAGATGACAGGGTAGCACAGGAGAGTAAGAATATCCTGTGCAGTCTTGTAATATACGTACATCACTTATAATATGAAATATTTCCATTAGAGCTTATCAGTATTATAAAAGCATTATATAACTATAATTTTAGTAGTTGCAACTGTAAAACAAAATAGTAAGAATGGGCAGAATTTTCAATAGCAGAAGGGTAACTTTCAGCCAAACTTGAAAGTTGGGTGTTAAAGAAAATTCTGCTGTTAAAGTGGGGGTTTAACTAGCATCTAATAACATTGTCAACTATAGCACTTAAAAGTCATAAATTACAAAAGACAGTTTAGCGGCCTACTTGCTAGTTAAAACTGGAGACTTCAGGTGTGTGGTAAATGAAATATAGTTGCCATGGAGATAAAAAACTGACAGATATTACTGGCTATAAAGATAACGCGTTTGTACCTTGCCTTTTTTCCACTTGTGCTTCAGTGCATATTTTGAATAGGTTTTTACACTGGAAAGCACGTCCACTTCAAGCCACTTCTTTTTTACCAGGATCGATTTAAAGAACAGATCAACATCAGCAAATAAGATATCTACTAAAAACAGAAACAGCAGCTGAGCTTACTGAAAATCAGCATATAGTTGCTCTAAAGCACTCCAAAACTCCAGCTGAAAGGGAGCTACTACTGTTATGGATGTAAAAATAGGTGGAAAAGGCCTTAGAACAGCCTGGTTTCATGTTAGTTGCTTTGCCACTTCACTGAAGCTAACTTGATCTCTCTTTGATGAAGCATCATGATACAGACAAAAATTGGAAATGAAAGTAGCATAATAAATGTTGCTCTGAACAGCTTCATATCAAATTAAAACAGATCAGCTTCCGCTTAAAATGGCTACCTCATTTTGCATATTCTGTTGCTTCACTAGTGGAAGACACTGTGGGACTGGATAGAAACACTGCTTTCGTGTGTCTTTTGGGCAGAAACTTATAGAAGAGCTAGCAATCAAACAAACCTGGTCTCCCCTGCAAAAAAAAATAGGCATGTCATCCCTGCGTGCTACAGAAACACTTCTGTTTCAAAAAAAAAAAACACCAAAAAAGTTTGCTTTTAGAACAAGTAAAAGGCTCCAGTCATTCTTGACCCGTCTAATAAGAAGTCAAAGACCACTCATGTATGCATAAGTCACACTGGAAGCATGAGACTTTAAATTTCTTCAAAGCCAATAAATACAACATGCCAGCTTTACTGAGATCAGCTGGAGAACTGCAAGATTAATGTTTTATGCTCCTATTCACAGGCTTATCTCTCTCTGCCATATCCAGAGTTAAATTTCAAGCTAAATTGTCTAATCAATTTTAAAGCAGTTATGATACTCTCTGCTGCAGCTGAGCCAAAATGCTGGCAAATGGGTAACAAACCGATTTTATTTATGTACACATAGACACACTTAATTTAGTATCCTCATTATATCTTCTACTTACATAAATTATCTCTGAATGGGGAAAAAAAAGGCAGAAAATTCCCATTGAAGACTTATGGCTTTCATCTGTCACTACTGGAGACAAATGATAAGACGTGGAAATTGATAAGTCCACACCAAAAAGATTTGGAAAAGGATGGGGTTTTTTTGAGTTTATCTCGTCACTCAAAACAAGTCAAACCATTACATCCACAGCAGTGGAAAGATGGTGGAAAAGAACCTTAACACAGCTTCTGCTTGCTAGTTACTGAGCATTCACAATTGCTGAATTTTTATAATTTTAGGATACTTGATAATTTTTTTTACTTAGTTCTAAAAACGCAGAAACTCACAGCAGGGCAAGAAAGTACGTGCCTGCTGATTTTCTGTTTCACAGACAAACTGTTTGTGTAATCCACAAAAGAAATCCTGAAAAGGCTATTCAGTAGTCCACTCTCTAAGTGTATTTACAGCTCACAGAAGTGAGTTTAATGAAACTAGACCAATAAAATAATACATTTCTGGGTTTCTGTGTGTGTTTCCTTGCTTACAGAAGTTCTGACTCTGACAT